GCGTGGGTGTTGTCATCTCGGCTGACTTGGAGTAGTCGGCAGTTCTTAAATAGAGCTGCCAATCTGATGACCTCTTTTGCATATGCCGACATCCTTCCGTCCCTGGCTGCAAATTCACCTGTTGACTGGTTAACAATAAGTTGTGAATCACAAAAAACTATTACCTCATCTGCTTCTGCTGCTGCTGCCAGTTTTAGCCCTGCAATTAATGCTTCGTATTCCGCTTCATTGTTTGAGGCCTTGAACCCCAAATGGATGGACTGTTCTATTATTTCTCCATCGGGAGATATCAGCAGTACTCCTGCCCCCGCTCTTTGTTGGTTTGAACTTCCATCGACGAACAGTTTGAATGAATCGCCAATGTAGATGCTGCAGGGTCTGAGTTTTTCCTTCCTTTGCTCTTTTGCCTTTGGCTGGGATTCTCCTTGCTTGTTGGGACAATGCTCATCCTGGCTCAACGGAGCCCGATGTTCGATTGTTTCGGGCGTGAATTCTGCCACGAAGTCGGCCAAAACTTGGCCTTTAATTGCTGTTCTCGGCCTGAACTCCAGGTCATACTGGCCCAGGGCTACTGCCCATCTTGCTATCCTTCCTGTTAAGTCTCCTTGCTGCAACAAAGACTTCAGTGGATGCTCCGTTAAGACCACAATTTTATGCGCCTGAAAGTAATGGTTCAACTTCTTTGAAGCCATTACTAAGGCTAGCATTAATTTTTCCAGTGGTAGATACCTTATTTTTGCATCGGCCAAGGTTTTGCTTACAAAATAAACAGCCTTTTGCTCCCATTTTTCTTCTCGAATTAGTACTGCACTGTCTGCGTGTTCTGAAACTGCCAAGTACAAAAACAGTTCTTTCCCTGGTTCTGGATTGGAAAGAACCGGAGTTGTGGTCAAGTACTTCTTTAGGTCGGTTAAAGCGGCTTCGTATTCTTCTGTCCACAGAAAGTCTGTGGCTTTTTTCACCAAGTTGAAGAAGGGTCTGCATTTATCTGAGTTTCTGCTGATGAATCTGTTTAGGGCTGCGGCTCTTCCAGTAAGCATCTGAACCTGTTTTGCCGACGTTGGGCTCTTCAGCTCTAGGATGGCCTTGATTTGGTCTGGGCTGGCCTCAATGCCCTTTCTTGTTACCAGATACCCTAAAAACTTACCTGATCCAACTCCAAACGCGCACTTTGATGCGTTGAGTCGGAGCCAGTATGTTTTGAGTATATCAAAGACTTCTTTTAGGTCGGCAAGATGACCCTTTGATTCCTTGGTCTTCACGACCATGTCATCGATGTAGACTTCTACCGTTTTGCCAATCAGGTGCTTGAACATCTTTGTTACTAACCTTTGGTAAGTTGCTCCTGCGTTTTTCAACCCAAAAGGCATTACCTTGTAACAGTACAAGCCTTTAGGGGTGATGAACGCGGTCTTCTCCTCGTCTAGAGGGTACATGGCAATCTGGTGGTACCCCCTGTATGCATCCAAAAAACTCATCCTTTCGTGCCCTGAAGTTGCATCTACTAGCTGGTCAATCTTGGGCAGAGGAAAGCTATTTTTGGGACAGGCTTTGTTGAGGCTAGTAAAGTCTACACAGACCCTCCATTTGCCGTTCTTGTTTTTCACTACTACTGTGTTGGACAGCCATGTCGGGTAGTGAACTTCTCGGATGGCCCTGGCCTCCAGAAGTTTGTCTACTTCTTCTTCTACTGCTTCGACGTGTATCAACGTCAGTCTTCTGGCTCGTTGAATCACAGGTTTTGCCGACCTGTCGACATTCAGTCTGTGGCAAGTGACTTCGGGGTTAATGCCAGGCATTTCGTAAGGTGTCCAGGCGAACACCTAGATGTTGGCTCTCAAAAATCTTCCAATTCCCTTTCCTCTTCTTCGGCTAAGCCTAAACCGAGAAGAAAGAAGCGTTCTTCGTCGCCCTCCTGGATAAGGATTTTTTTTAGTGTCTCTTCACACTTTTCGGTTGGCTCCTTGCCGACATCATCTAGGACCTCCATGTCCTCGTCTTCAATCTCAGCCTTTTTTGGCTCTCGAATGCTGCAAGTAGACTTCGTTGCTGCCATGGAGCAACTTTTTACCTGCAGTTGATCTCCTCTGACTTCTTCAATCCCATGCTCTGTGGGGAACCGTAGTAGTTGATGCAATGTTGAGGGAACTGCCCCCATTGCATGCAACCATGGTCTTCCCAAGATGATGTTATATGGCGAGGGTGTGTCAATCACCATAAATTCTGTCTTGATCTTCTTAGTACCAGCTTGTACTTCCACGCTTGCTGCGCCCAGTGGCCATGTCGGCGTTCCATTGAAGCCGACCATAGGGTTGCTGGATTTTTCAAGGTCGTCAGGATGAAGGCCCAACTCCTTGTAACATCTGACGTACATGATGTCACAAGAGCTGCCTTGATCTATTAGGATGCGTTTTACTTGGCACTCCCCAACCTGGAGGGATACTACCAAGGCATCATTATGCGGATGCTAGACCATCTCTAGGTCGGCTTTAGTGAAGGTTATTATCGGTCCTTAGTATTCTTCAGGCCGAGGTCTTTTGTGTCCAACCTGGTTCATGTGTTGCAGGTGTTTTACTTTTTGGGTTTCTCCCCGAATGTCGTTTTCGTTCATCTTTGAGTGAATGACATTAACCACCCGTGGTCCTCCTGTCTGTGGTTGTTGCGCTGGGGGAGGCGGAGCTGCAGGTGCTTGAGGCAATCTTGCATGTTCTTCTCTTGTCCTGGCCTCATCAATAAGGTCCCTCAGATGGCCTTGTCTTACCAAGTCTTCTAAGTGTGCTTTTAAGGCTCTGCAACCCTGAGTTGTATGCCCATCTTCATTGTGGTAGGCACAATGCCTGCCAATGTTTCTTCCCATGAATTCCCCTGGTGCTCTTGCCGGTGCCCTGAAATAGGGTTGGTGGACGGCTAGGATTAAAACATGTGGATGGTTTAGATGGGGAGTACAATTCGGTTCTTGCTTTATCTCTTTGTTTCCCGATGTATCTTCCTCGGCTCTGGCGTACTTCTCAATTCTTGCCATGAGTTCTTCCATGCTTTTTGGCAGTGTTTTTGCCAAAGACTTCCGTAGTGGGCAGTCATCTTTCAGGCCGTTCTTGAAAGACACGACCGCCACCTCTTGGTTGCACTCGGGTATTCGGTTGAATACCTCATAATACCTTTTGGCATAGGCTCTCAGGTTTTCGTCTTTGCCAATTTTCAAAGCCATCAAGGCGTCTACCCTTAACGACTGTTGTTTGTTTGTTACAAACCTGGCCACAAACATCTCGGCCAGGCCTTCCCATGTCTTTACGCTTCCCTTTGGTAGCTTATGGAACCAATCGGATGCAATTTCCCCAAAGGATGAGGGGAATACTTTGCAGAGCAATGGCTCGTTCCCACTGTATAATGCCATTGAGTTCAGGTATAGTCCAACATGAAAGTTGGGGTCTGACTTACCATCATAAATTTGGAACCTCGGCATACTGAATCTCTTTGGTGCTTCAAATTTGTCCAGTTCTACTGAGAATGGTGTTCTCGGCTTAACTTTAGAAGTAACCTCGGCTTCGACATTCTGCTGTCTCCTTTTGAAGTAGTCCCTCAAGTCTTCCTTACTCCTACCTGGAGCTCGGCTATCTCTGGACTTCAATCTTTTTGGCACACTACTTTCGGCCTCGTGGTGGGCCTGTTTCGATCTTTCTCCATGGGTTGTGTCAAAGCAGAGTGCTTGACCTTGAACATGCCGATGTTCTTTGGGCCCTGGATCTTTCATGCGATGTGTCCTTCGGGACTTTTCTTGCCTCGGTTCCTCTCGTCCTACTTCCTTGGAAGGTCGGTGAGAGTGCCTTCCACTCCTGGTGTGCTGAGGGGCTTCGGGGATTGCTTTCCTTCCTCCCTTCTGGGTATTAATTGCTGGCATCGGCGTATCTTGCAGCGGGTATGGTGGCTGCATAACATTGTTCTGCATCATGAAGTTGACGACCGACTGAAGGTCTGCCAATTTGTTTGCCAAGTCTTTTACTTCCTCATCCCTCCGTAGGCACTTATCCCTCCATACCTGAAGGTTATCTTCATTATAGTACTTGCCTTGGTCTGTCTTTTTTGAAGTGTTGCCCTCCTGACCGACGTCTTTCTCTCCGTGGTCCTGACCATAAGTTTCTGTATTGTGGTTATCTTCTTCAAAGTCGAGATCAATTGGTCTGCCACTCCCAGCAGGAGTGTCGCCCCCAATGTTTTCCCTCTGTCCGTCACTGGCCATCTATTCTTCTAAGTTCCCACAGACGGCGCCAAATTGTGTGGGTAATTTTCTGACCACACTGCCCGCCTAGTAATCAGCTGGAGAGTACAGGCAGAATAGATGGCTTCAGCAAACCTATAACAGAAAGAAAAGGCTTCGGCGGTGGCTCTTCCACCCGGGGGCACTCCGACGATCAAGTCAGTATATCTCTCAAAGATAAATCAAGTACTAAACTCATAAGATTAAGTATAAAACTGCGTACCTTAGACCCACGGGGGTGCCTCTCTCTTTTATAGTTTACTCAATCCAAGTCCCACTAGAAGCCTGACTTCTATGGACTCCAATTCAATACTGACTTGGACTCTTCAAGAGATAAAGATAAACTCCCTAAGAGTTTTATCCTTATCTTGGCTAAGTCTTCTCTTTTCTCTAGGACTCTTGCCCCTTATCCATTTATCCGCTTATCTCGGATTCCGATATCTTCGGAGATCACCTTGGCCTCACCAAAGATAACCTCGGCATTACTACCACGACACGTGGCACCTCGGCTGAAACGTCGGCGTCACCATGCCACGTGTTGGTATTCAGAAAATACATCCCCACAGTATCTAAATCCCCAATAGTATGTACCTATAATAATTATTATGTTAATGTACATAAAAGAGGAAAAGGATAGTGAATTTATTGTGATAAATACTATTTTTCTTTTTTAAGATGGTAGTGGTGGTTATAATCTTTCATGTGCTAATAACTCCAAAATAGTTTGGTCATGATGCAGAAGTTGGATGGTAAGGATGTAAGAATTGTGGACTATTTTGATGTGATTGCAGGAAAAAGCACTGGCGGTCTTGTGATTGTCATGTTTACTGCTCCAAACGAAAATAATTGTCCGGTGTTTGCAGCTAAAGATATTAAAGACTTTTACTTCGACAATTGCCCCAAAATATTGCCACAAGAGAGGTAATAATTACAAACAATTAAGAATTTTAGTATAAAATTTTCATACAAAATATTATATATAGCGGTTTTTATCCTGTTATTTCAAACTAAAACACATACCAATATTAGTTATAAAAATTATTTTTGTGGATTCTTTTCTTTTTCCATTCAATGATGATGATACTATGTAGTGGGAGTATTAACATGTTAAAACTTTAAAACAAACAACTCTCTATTTTCTCAAACTAGAAAGGCAATCAAAGCCCTATCAAGACCAAAATATGATAGGAAGTATCTCCGTGAAGTAGTTAAGGAAGATCTTGGGGAGACAAAACTACATCAGACATTGACTAATATTGCAATTCCAACTTTCGACATTAAGACCCCCCAACCAACCATTTTTTCCACCTATGAGGTATATCATCAATTGTTTATAGCTATGAGAATTTTGATACTAAAATTCAAAGTGATTGTTTGCATTGAACATAGTGTTGATTATTGGCCAAGGATTCTCTATCATTAATTCTTGGATAAATTACACTGTTAGTCTTTATACTTTGATCCTTATATCATTTTGATCATTTTAATTTCAATTTTGACCCTAAGCTTTTAATTTTATCTCAAATTAGTCCAATTACTAGTATTTTTTTAGACACAAATTATAAACTTGATCAATTTAGTGATTTAATTTCAACCAATTCAATGAAATTTTTTTGTCAAACTTTAACGACATTATTAATTGGACCAAATTGAAGCAAAATTTAAAATTAAGAGTCAAAATTAAGCCAATTAAAATTGTAGGAACTAAAATGACACAAGCGACAAACTATAGGAATTACCGATGTAATTTGTCCTTAATTTTTTCTATTCTTCATCTCAAAACACTACAGTCATTGAATTATGTGAGAATGTGAATGTATATGTAAGAATTTCGAGACATAATCCAACAATTATGAATATCTTAAGATAAGAGGACATAGAAATTTGAGACTAAGAATCACGTGTGCTAATTTCTTATCATAAAATTTACATTTCATGTTTTAGGTGAACTATAAGCCAACCTTGGATGCCTTACTCTCAGATATATGCATTGCAACCTCAGCAGCGCCAACTTATCTTTCAGCCCATTCTTTCAAAATCAAAGACCCCACTGGAACTGTGAGAGAATTTAACCTAATTGATGGCGGCGTGGTAGCAAACAATCTGGTATTTATCAAATTTGATTAATAATAACTTTCTACTCTTATCTATTTCTTTTCTTTGAGTATTTCCACTTATGTAAGTAATTTTATGTTTCAAACTTTGATTATAGCTATTCCAGTTTTGACCCGACCATTGTTGTGTCCCGGGCTCGGGTTTGATGGTTTCACATTGTTGTTTACGGCTTGTTTCCCTTGTATCTCCTTAAGTTTGACTTTTGGGATGTAGTGGTTGTATTTGGAACAGGTTGGTTGCTTAATTTTTAAACCTTTGTTGTCCAGAATTTTGCTTCTCCGCTCGAGCAGTACTTCTTGCGCTTGAGCGGATTTTGTGAACTCTCAATACTTTTGCAGATCTGCAAGACTACTGGAATGATGTATTCTACGCTCGAGCGGGTGGGCGCTCGAATGGTCCTTACTTGAGCTCTAGCATTGGTCTATTGTCTGCAAAACTACTGGATGTGTGTATTCTGCGCTCGAGCGTCACTTCTTGAGCTCGAACGGTAATGCCCTTTTGTTTTGTGTCTTGGCGCTCAATCGTCACTTCTTGCGCTCGAGCGGAACAACTTATTGTGTCTGACGCTCGAGCGTCACTTCTCGCGCTCGAGCAAACTGTGTGTATATCAGTTCGCGAAAAGGTCATTTTATATCACTTTTTCAGATCTATTTCTCTCCAAACCCTAAAGTTGAGAGCCTCTCTCTCTAAAATCTACATTCTCTCTACTTTTCATCTAGATCTAGTGAATTCTCCACCCTTATGCCTTTGTTAAAAAGGTAGAGCACATTACTGCAAAACTACTGGATGTGTGTATTCTGCGCTCGAGCGGCAATGCCGTTTTGTTTTGTGTCTTGGCGCTCAAGCGTCACTTCTTGCGCTCAAGCAGAACAACTTATTGTGTCTGACGCTCGAGCGTCACTTCTCGCGCTCGACCAAACTATGTGTATATCAGTTCGCGAAAAGGTCATTTTATATCACTTTTTCAGATCTATTTCTCTCCAAACCCTAAAGTTGAGAGCCTCTCTCTCTAAAATCTATATTCTCTCTACTTTTCATCTAGATCTAGTGAATTCTCTACCCTTATGCCTTTGTTAAAAAGGTAGAGCACATCAATAGCTACGTTTTGATCCGAATCAATCTTGGTTTCGACGTCTTTGGAGTTTCTCTACTTCTCCTTTGGTTTTCTAAGCTTGAGGTAGGGACTCTCTACACTTTTCTATGAGTTTTAGCTTAGTTATTTGTTGTTGTGTAAGAAATATTAGGATTTGAGGTAGTTTTGAACAAACCTAGTGTTTTGGTTTAAAATCACAAGAGGGGTTTTCAAATGAATGTAGTGGAAATGGTCATAGGAGTAATTGTAAGCTTGTGTTGTGCTAAAATAGTTGATTTTTGGTGTTTGGGGTAAAATTGAGAAAAATGAAAGTTTTGCCTTAAAATGACTCAAATGATTATTTTGTATAAATAATGGAATTGGTAGTGAAAGTGTGAAATTGGGAGGTTGTTTATATGAATGGTGGAGTTAGATATGTATTATCTCGCATCTATGTGAATTTGGATAATTTATATGTTGTAAAGATTGTATATCTATTTAGAAATATCTGTTTTGGGCTATCAGTGGAGGATAGTCATGATTGTTGTGAAATTGCATGAGGATTAGGCGAATTGAAACTAACTTCCTATTGGTTGTCATCGAATATGACTTTGTTATAATACATTGTATATGTATGATATTTGGGAATAGAAATGGGATGTACTCCATATGTGGGAGGAGAAAATGAATGAACTCTATTGAATTAAGTTGGCCTGTGTGTCCTGAGTGTAAGTCCCGAAAACCGCGCATATACATTGGTGCCGATTCCCGCAGACGAAATTTCTGTAAAATGGCAAATTGAAGTATTGGGTATTGATTATATATGTTTGAGAACCAATGAGTTGTACTCTTAGTTGGGTTGTCTGGATAATAACGAAAATAACACATGAATTGAGGTGAAATGAATTGACATAAATGAAATTGGGATAAAACGGACTAGAATAAAGGAATTTGATATATTATGATCTTGTAGGATATGATTGATACCATAATGGGCATTAGACATGCACTTCATACTTATACCTTTGTTAAGATTCATATATTATGATCTTGGCTTTGGCTCACCCTATTGGGAAAAATCATTTTCAGGTGTTGGCGACATGCCTCCGCCAAGACAGTAGCATAGAGAGACTTGGAGCAAGGGCTCGTTTTTGTTGGATGTAATTTATATAGCCAAGGTCTTTAACTGTATTGAGCTAGACTCATTTTGTTGTAACCAAGGAATGACTTGGAAAGATGTAAGCAGTCAGGGCATTTAATTATTTGTTCAAATTTCATCTTTTGATTATTAGTAGCACATGTTGTAGATTCAGGATAGGACATTTATGAATGTATATCGCATGTGTCACCTTTTGTATATTAACTCTAATAAATGAAAGTGTGTCATTCCCATTCTACTTCTGCAAACAAGATGGGTTTGTCATATTTTTTTTGGGTCATTACAGTCAATATCCCCCTTTTGTTACTTCATTGTTTAAATCTTTAACAGAATCCAGCCATGTGACAAGAATATAACTACAAAATGATGGTAAGAGAGAAAAATTATCTATATTTTTCATTGATACACAATTTGTCCTGCTTTTTTTTTTTTTTTTTTTGATCGGCAAATGTTAGTTGTTAGTTGTTAGATTAGCACTTATGGAATAAAATCTCTCCACCCTTGGCAAAGCACCTAAGTGCTTGCACTCCCTTAATTCAATCTCCCTAAGAATAATTGAACCCATGACCTCTTTAGGACTAAGCCCTAAGGAAGGCATGGTGGCCAACTAGGCTAGGCCTAGTTGGTTCACAGTTTGTCCTACATAATAAGCACGTGAAAGTTATATAATAATGTGTGTGTGTGTGTGTGTGTGTGTGTTGAAAATTGGAACAAAGAGGTAAGAAAATAGAACTTTTGAAAATTTTTAAAAAAAAAAAAAAAAAAAAAAAAAACCAGTAGAGAAATCGAAGAGAAATGAAATAGACAGAAGACTATGTTGCTATAGAAAACGTAATTTCGTGATTCCAATTTGTGTAAAACCCTAGTTCATCTTTTTAGTCGTTCACAATCTGCGTTTTGTTTCAACCTAATACAGTAATAATTTGATGTAAATTTTAGGACAAAAAAATGAGAATAATTTTCCTCTATTACCCTAATTTCGTAGTCATATTTTTGTCACATGACTGGATTCTGTTAAAGATTTAAATAATGTAGTAACAGAAGGAAGACATTGACACTTGTGTAGAAACCAAAATGAGATTTGACTAAAGTTGTAAGGGGTTGACTGTTACAATTTTATTTGTAGGAACCAAAGTAGGATTTGACCAAAAATATAGAGGGTTGACTGTCACAATTTCATATGTAGGAACCAAAGCGGGGTATAAAGTATTGGGGTGCAAAGTATTACCCTTTAAGATTTTTATAAATTTGTCAAAAGAAATGAAACTTCTCTCAGATTGACTATCTTAATAAGATAAATGTACCATTAATTATCATTAATGAAAGATAATTAACTTAAGATTTGTCATGTAATAAGCAAGGTAAGCTTAATCATGGTTTCTTTTAAATTAGGTATCTCAACTTAAGAGAGTGTATGGATTTCGTGCGCTTATTTTGGGACTAATTTCAATAATCCAAACCTTTCAATTTTTAAGATTCGTTGAGTAGAATTCATATAAAAAATTAAAATAATTAGAAATCGGTACCTATATGTTTAAATCACATTTGTCTTACAAAAAATAAATGGTTATTCTTAAAATTATATTTGTTGTTCATTTTTTTAAAAACAAATATGATTCAAATATATAACTATTGATATCTAATCATCTTAATTTTTTATATGAATATTCTATATAACATGTCTTAAAAAGTGAATAGTTCAAATTACTAAAATTAATTCCAAAATGAATTCACAAAACTCAAATACTCTTTCAAATTCAAATGATAACTTGAGAAAAGTTAAACCCTATTATTAAACTTGGTTTGAACTTATTTCAGCATGTTAATGGTGATCCCAAGACTGTAATAAAAAGAGCATTGATAAGCATTTATTATGCCTTCGTTTGGGATGTGGGTTGATTTTTTAATTTTTTGGCTTTTTGATTATTTTTTATAGGGCTAAAAAGTCTTATTTGCGATAGGTTTTTTAGCTTTTTTGACTTTTGTGAGAGAAAAACAATAAAATGATTATGGATTTGAGAGGGTAATTTGTAAACAAATTGGGCCGAGCTAGGAAGAGTCTTCTTTGGGAGTTGGGCCACGTAATGGGCCGAGATAATGGCTGGTGTAGCTCGGTCTTAGGCCAAGAAGACATCTCATATTTCGGATTTGGGCAGAACTATGGGCCGAGGTAATTATTTATGTAGCACGGTCCTTGATCATCTAAACATCGGGTCGGTCAGAGATGGGCTACCAGTGACCTGACCAAGCTATCCTGGACCGAGGTATCAGTGAAGGGAGAACCGAGCCAAAGGATAGCTCTGCAGGGCGTCATCTCAGAGTCAAAACTGACAGTGGTGCTTAAAGTATCACCGAGCTGTGTGAGCACAGTTGACCGCAATGTCAGCCGAGGTAAGGGTTCAACCATCTCACTTAGCTTGCAGTGATGAAGGTGTTTTGGGGATAATCATTATCCTTAGGCTTGAGAATCCTAAGAGGACTCTGCTAAAGAGAGTAGAGTCCTACTAGGATTATACAAGACCATCTCACTTGGTTGGTAGTAAGTAGGAGTGTGACTCCTAGGAGGACTCTGCTAAGGAGAGTAAAGTCCTACTAGGATTGTGCAAACTATCTCACTTGGTTGGTAGTGAGTAGGGTGTGTGATTCCTAAAAGGACTCTTATAAGGAGAGTTGAAATCCAATTAGGATTGTGCCAAGTAATGTTTATAAAAGCTTATGACCAGACCTATGTACAGGTATCCCAATTCTTACTCTAGAATACATAGAGCTTATTGTCTATTATCTAGTTGCTAATTTAGGCATCGGAGGGGTTTTCGGCACACACCCGCCGGCTAGCTCACAATTGTATCTTCAGGAAGTAAAGCGACGATGTTTGGAGGAG